GGGGAGGAGGGGGCGGCTAGGGGAAGGGGGTTGGAGGAGGAGGAACACAGCATGCTATCACCACCAGAGGACATTTCTGACGCCGGCGGCAGACAAGCGGCAAGCGCCGAATCCAGTGAGCGTGGGTTCTCAGCCGCCTCGTCCAGCCTGGAGCCTCCGACACCACTGCTTCCCGGGCCCGCGGCAGAGGCTACCGTTTCCTACCCCTGTCATCCCAAGGGTACCTTACACCTCCTTCGTCTTCCCCTCCGTCGCTCCTTCCACCTGATTCTGCATCGGGCCTTCGCCTTCCTCGTCCGGGAGGCGGTGAAAAACCCCGCCTTACTCTCGTCCACCTCGGCCCCGTCTGAGGGCGACCTGGGCCAGCTCTTGGCGCACATCAGTGAAGAACCCCTGCTCGCCTTGGGTCTCTTTGAAATGCCAGTCTCCGTCCTCGTCCTGTCCGCCGAGATTCGCGCGGGCCTTTGGCGGCGCAACGGACAGCTGATGATGGACCAGGTGATCAATTACAGGGAACCGCCCTTCTGCAGGGTCTTCCGTGACATGGACCTCTTGCTGGTACAGATGGCGGCGCTAGCGTGGGGCGATTGGGAGAAGGTGATGAACGCATTGTTGCGACGTTTCCACGTCTGGACCTGGCTGCCGCCTGCCGGGTGGGAAGACGTAGGCAAGGCCGACGAGGCAGGAGGTCAGGGGGGAGACAGGAAGGCAACAGACTCCTCGTCGTGGATGAGGCCAGAGGGGGGGCAGCGGCCAAGGTCAGGGCGACCATGGAATCGGCGCGACCGATGGGATGACGATGTGGTCCGGGAGACGCTGCTGCCTCTGGGAGAGGAGTGTTTGCTGTTGCTCATCCTGCTGATCACCGAGGTCCCCTTGCCCCCGATGCCTCCCCAAGACCGGCACCGGCTCAGCCTTCGCCGCGAAATCGTCCACCGGCTTGCGTCGGGGCCGTGCACGCACAGCGAGGTCCACGAGTGCTGTCACCACTCTTCGGACGGCTCGGAGGTGATACCGGAGTCCATGATCGAAGAGATCCTGGCCTCCGTGGCGGTCCGGCGCGAGGCGCGAGACCTGGAGGCGGAAAGGTTTGTTTTAAGCGAGAGCGCCTGGGAAGAATACGACCCGGCCTTTTTCCACATGACCAATCAAGCGCACCAACAAGCATCGGAGATGCGGCCCTCGCCCAAGAAAGAAAGCGGTCCATCCCCCAAAGCATGCGTTCGTCCCCCCCCTCCGGCTCACCCGGTCTTTGCCCCGTTGCGCCTGGGCTTGCTCTCCTCTCGCACCCTCCTCCAAGTCATCAGAACGGTCCTCATGAAGGCCTTCCCGCCAAGCGGCCGCAGCAGCAGTGGCGTCCCTGCTTCCACCTCTTTTCTCTCGGAACCCACTGAGCCCACCGACAGCACGGGTTTCATCGCCCCCCTCCCCTCACCTCCGCCTCCCTCCTCTTCATCCTCAGCCTGCATCCGCGATTCCCTCCTACCCCGATGTCTGCATCTACTGACTTTGGCCGTGCACGCTCTACGGGACTGCCCGTCTTCACCTGCGACACGCTCGTTTTTTGCGGCCATGCACGACACCTCTGCGCTCCCTTCTTCATCGAGCCCCTCCCTGTTCTCCCTCCTCCTCGCATTGCCCTCCTCGATTGCCTCCTCGTCCGACGTCCACCTCTTGCAAGGGACGCAATGGCTGCTCCAAAACCTCGGACGGCTCGATCCTGTCTGCCAAGCTGCCTTGGACCGCAGCGTGGCCGTCGGCGAGGGAGCCCAAAAAATTGCGCGATCAGCCCACGCCCGGAAGAAGACAGCACGTGAAAAGATGCTCGCCAAGATGCAGCGTTCGGCCGCCGAATTTCTCAAGGGGCAAGAGGGTAAAGAGGAGGAGGAAGAAGATGTGCCGCGTAGGGTGCGTGAAAACAAGGAAGGGGACGACGGGATGGTTGACGAGGATGATAGAAGAGCGGGCAAGTCCGCGGAAGGAAGGATTATGCCCTCTCCCCGGAAAAAGAGCCTTGGAGAGCTGGGTCCGGGGGAAACCAATGGAGAAGAAGGGATGGAGGGCGAGGAGAAAGCGGGCGGGGAGGAAGTATTACCGAAAAAGCCGGTGTGTATGGCCTGCCGGGGCTCCAGTGCGAAGGAGGACTCGAGTCCTTTGGGATACGCTGCCTTCGTCCAGCGCTCGAACGTACTGAGCAGGTCTTTACCCCTTGGGGAGTTGGACGCCTGTCCGACTTCCTCCTCCCCGCAGAAGCCCGGGCGACGGGGAAGGCGAGGGGCGGACGGGAAATGCGGACAGGAGGAGGAGGAGGGGGAGGAGGAGGGAACAATCGAGGGAGGGCGAAGTGCGGCGAGAAGTGGGAAACAGGGTGGCTTTCAGGAACGGCGAGAAGGCTTGATTGTGCAGCTGTGTGGTCACGCGTTGCACTATGGGTGCTTTGACGCCTACTTTGCCTCGGTGGTGGAGTCGAGCGAGGCGATGGGCAACTTGATCTACAACGTGCAGGCGGGCGAGTATCCCTGTCCATACTGTAAGGCCGTTTCCACTTGCTTGGTGCCGCACATTCCAGTGGTGGAGGACGCAGGCCTTTTCGGAGGGGTCGTGATTGGCGCAGGGGCGGGTGTAATTGATCGGCAGGGGGCAAGAAAGGGCAAGGATGGGAATAGGGGAACCGTCGTGTGGCGATTCGAGGATCACTTGCAGGCATTGGTGGAAGCAGATGACGAGGATATGGATGAGCAGATGCAGGGTAAAACCACGGAGGAGGAAGAAAAGGAGTGCCTGGAGGCGTGGGATGTACATGAACAGGAAGGGTGGGAGGAGAAGGACAGTACCATTTTGAGAACCTCGCAGGGAGCGGAAAGAACGCATGTGCCGGGGTCTCTGTCGAGTTTTGAGGGCGCGCAGGCCGCCATGGCGATGGAAGGGAAGGAGACGGGGGAGGAGGAAAGCGAGGAGGATCAGGAGGCGGCGAGGAATGAAGCGGCACTCACGGAGAGCTGCCGCCTCTTTTTAAAGAGCATGGACTCTGGAGGGTCTCCGTCGTCTCCGAGCAGCAGGTGGCGTGGAGAAAGGGGATGGGAATCAGATTTGCCCGTGGATCGGTACCTGAAGGTGTGCGAATCGCTCGCTTACACGTTGGCGGTGGCGCAGGTGGAGATGGGTCACGGCGGGGAAGAGAAGGGAAGAAAGGGATGGCACGCCGATGGAGGACGAGGCGACATTGGCGGGACCAGCGGCACCTGTAGCGGAGGAGATCACGCTGACGTTGCCCGGGTGACACGATTGAATGCTTTGATTCGGGTTCTGGGCTACATGACGCGTCCGCTATGGCCTTCGTTCCTGGATCCCCTCCCTTCTCCAGTCACCGATTCTCAAGCGGCTGGCTCTTCGGGCTCGACAAACGAAAATCAGGGAGTGCAGGAGGGGGATGATGAAGGGGACGCAGTGGGAATGCTCACAAGCATGGGTAGGGGTTACGGCGAGGACGCGCCGATAAAACCGCTTTTATCGGCGCAACACCTTCGTAAGCGACGGCGTGGAGGTCCTGAAGCCCAGGAGCGTGGACTGGGCGGCATTGGCGGCCGGAAAAGACGGCAAGGGAGGGCGGAGGGAGTAGCCCCCAGGGTCAGGATGGCGGGGCCCTTGGCACGCTTGTTGTTGGGAGGCGGCTGTCCCCTGAACGTGGGGCGGGGCTCGTCTTCCCTCTTGCGGACAGAGCAGCCCCTTCTGAGCCAGAATGTTTGGTGCGTCTGGGTGGCGGCGGCGGTGGACTTGACCTTTCTGGCGCCCTCGGTCTCGTCGGCGCAAGGCGGGCGGGCCCAGACGGGGAAGGAAAGCTCGCGGGGGAAAACAGAGGAAGATGTGCTCCGGGACTTGACGTGTGCTATTTTCGTGGCTCGCGTGGTGCAGGTGTTGTGGGATACGGGGGGTGTATTCCGACTCGCGCCTGGTGGGGGAGGAAAAGGCAAGGAGGAGGCCATGGAGATTCCCGGGGGCCCGAGGCTGGGGGCCAACGGCGACAAAGACGACCTCGAAGAGGGAGCTAGCAGGGAGGAAACTCTCTTGCTGGAAGGTGTCTCGGCCGCGATGGGTGAGGCGAAGGAGGGACCCTCGCCAGTGGAGCGCGCTGAGATGCTAGACATGAGCGCATGGGGCATGCGACTCGGTCGCTCCATGGCCTCCCGGGCTGTTGCCACCCTGAGTGTGGAGGAGGCGCAGGAGCGTGTGAGTCCGGGGCAACTGGCGAGTCGGTTTGAGATGGCGAAGCAGGCGGGTAAGGCGCTGTTGGAGTGTGCGGCCTTATTCGTGCGCGTCAAGACCGCGCAAGGTGGGGACGGAGGTGCAAAGAGAGGGAAGACGGCAGGGACGGACGGGCAGTCGGAGAGCGATAGCAGGTCGGGTCGTGGGAGAGTGGTTTCAAGTTGGCCGGGATGGCACTTAACTGGGCCTGGTGCTTCCTTCACTGATCTTCGAAGGGCCATGGGCGTCCCGGAATTCGCCGACTTATTGCGAGAGGAGGGACAAATGTGGACGTGCCTGGCCATCACTTGGCTGTCAGAGTGGAGCCAACGCTTCCTAGCCCGTCCCCCGTCCTCTCCGCCCTCCTACTTGGTCAGACCCGCCGGTCCCTCCTCCTGGGATCGTGACCGGCGCTCCCTCGACTATCCCGTCTGGGCCCCGCCTCGCTTTGTGCCCCTCCGGGCATCGTACACCGAGCTTCACTCCGAGCTGATTGCCCGCCTGCTTTCGGCCTTTGATCAGAACGAAGCGGGGGACTCCGCATTCCCCATGGCAAGTGGGGGGGTTGCTGGCACAGGCGCTATCACGCCGGTCGCTGCGGCCGGAGGAGGTGGGGGAGGAGGACCCCGGGTGGAGAATCCTGTGCTCTGTTTAGTGTGCAACGCCGCCCTGGAGGCCGGGCGTGGCCGCTGTACGGCGCATGCGAGGGCATGCGGACGAGGGGTGGGCGTATTCTTCCTCCTGCAAGACTGCTCTGTCCTCCTGATTTATTTGGACCGGGCCTGCTACTTTCCGAGCCCCTACGTGGACGTGTACGGGGAAAGGCACAAACAATTTCGGGGTCGGCCATTGCATTTGGATGAGCGGCGCTTGGAGGCCCTGCGGCGCGTGTGGGCCAAGCAGCGGGTGCCTTACGAGGTGGTACAGGCGAGGAGTACGAGTAAGCATGTCATTCTGACCAACTACTACTAGAAGAGATGGACATGAAGGAGAGCTATACACGACGACGCATTAGGGAAGAATATGCGCGCTTTGGGATAGGATCGATAGAGAGATGCAAGGACTCGACAACCAAGGATATAGCGCGGGTGTAAAAAGCATGCAGGCAGCGAAGAAGGACCGCCGTATAGCCTTGGGTTTTGAGCACCTGCACTTTCAGTGGGGTGACCATGTGTCGACGTGAAATTGGTGCGTGGGTGAAGTTCAGTCGAATGATTTCCCGAAGCCGCAATTAACGCGGGAGGAAAGATGACACACACAAGACACAAAAGTAAGGAGAGACAGACCATACACTTCAGAAATTAGCCTTGCTGTACACTTTGTCTTCTTTTTGATGGAGCTTGCCTCTCCCCGTCTCGCTTCGAAAGCACATCCTCCTGCGTTTTTTACTCCTCGTCCTCGTCACTCGCGTACGCGGCTAGCATGCTCAGGGAGTTGGCAGTCGATGGGGCTTTCTCTTTACGCTCCTCCTCGTCTCTTTTTTGCTTTTTATGACCGCTATCTTTGTCGTCGTCAATGTTGCTGCTGGAAAGGCTCCCTTTACTCCCTCCTTCTGAAGTCTTGCCAGATTTGCCTTTGCGTTTGATTTTGACGTTGATTTTTACCTCAGGGAAAGCCCTCTTGCCATTGCCATTTCCTGCAACAGTTGCACCACTACTGCCGCTTCGCCCCGAGTCCAGACGCTTTCCTTGTGTCTCGGCACCCCCTGTGCCCTCCGCGACCCCTCGCGCGTCTTCCACCAAAGTGTCGTGCTGCGTGTGGTTCAAGTCCCTGTTAGCCCGCGCGAGAGAGAACGCCGCCAGCTCCCGCTCCTCCTCTTCAGCCCGACGACGCTCCCGTGCCTTTTCTTGTTCGAGGATTCCGTCGAGATAACTAGCCTCCTCTTCATCCAACGCCTTGGGAGGGGCGAAGATCTGTTTGGTTACAGCGTCGTACTCGGCCTTCTTCTTTTCTTTTTGCTCCTCCAATTGCTCCCACAAAGTGCGACTGTGTGCTGCTTTTTCTTGATCCAATCTTTTTTTATGAGCTTCCTCGTCTTCCAATTGTTCTGTTTTGTACGACACCTAATCACCAGAAAACGTGCAAGAGGATGCTTCTGCTTAGACAAGCAGACAGGAAGAACAGGAAAGCAACACATACTTACCCCGTCATCCGATGACAGCACAGATGTGGCAACGAATCGAATAGCTGCCATCTTGCACAAATTCCGTGAATTATTTTGTCCTCGTTAAATGGAAAATGAGATGCCAGGTGAGATGAAAGCGAGGCTTCAAGGTACGAAGGGGGGGCCGCACGCTGTAAGTTTCGTGCGGCGGAGGAGAGCACCGAGGGGTATATTCAGCACAGTCTCAAGCAATACGACATGGCAATAGCATGAGAGCACGCATGGACCTTTGCTCCGATAATCATTCGTTGCCATGCTCGTTGATAAAGAGTGACTTCCCCTCAGCCTGTCTGAGGTGCTAGTTAGCATTTAAGTCTTCTATTGCGCGTTTAGAAAGCATTGAGGAAACCAGCTCTTGACTTCCTTGTCCAAGAGAATGTGTCTTCCTTTAATATGTATGCACGTTTTACATGCCCTTCGGTGGGAAGTCAAGGAACCTTTACACCTAAAAGCGCACGCTCAAAGCGCCCGACGGGAACAGATCCTGAAGATCGAATTACCCACATGCCACAGTATACACACCACACTGTCCGCGTCCTCTGGCTTTGTAGGTGCATCGAGGCCAAAAATGAAGCACTTTATGCCCCTGTCCACTTTTTGGAGTCCGGCAAATCTTTTTACAGGCCCTTTTTGCGCTCGGAGTATGTTTGTGGTGCTTTTCAACCCACCAGTACCACGCTCTGTGACAATGTCCTCCCGTTGTTCCCGAGATATACAGGTGCTGTCCGGTATTCTGTCGCACAATTACTCACTCAAGCCCTTTCAATGCACAGATTTATAAAAGATAAGAGAAACGGGTCTCAGTCAAAAACCGCGCAGCCCCCCCTTCATTGTCAACCATGCCAGCTTCCGCGGGCCGTGTGGTAAGTCTGCAGCATGCCGTGCATACCTTTTCCCACCAGTACACACACAGTCTAATAGGCTCTACCCTGCCTCCGGTTGCGGCCGTCACAGAAAATGCCACACAACAATCGGATGTCCAGTTCGGCTGCGCTGGGGACAAGCAACATGTGGAAAAATGTGATCAAGTACGACCCTTACGCGAACGATGAAGGTAAGGTCTCCCAGGGTCTCCTTCTCCACGCTTGCTCCTCAATAAGACTGAGCATTCTATTATCCACCGTGATACGACCCACTCATTAGATGCTGCTGCGGAAGCGGCCGCCGCCGAGCTCGCGGCGGAGCAGCAGCGGGGCTTAATGGACGTCGTACGGATCAAGGCGCGGGAGACGCTGGGCACGGAGAGCAAACGTGGCGCTTGTAGAAAATGCGGCAACATGGGGCACCTCACGTATCAGTGTCGGAACCATTTGGGAGGAAACAACCGTGCCGCAGACTCGGAGAGTGAGAGCAGTGACGAGGATAGTGTGGAAAGCGCCGAGGAAGTCGTGGAGGCAAGGGCGGCAGCAGCGGCAGCGATGACTAGCAGGGGGGATGGGAATGGGTCCCGGAAGCGCAAGCAAGAGAGCAGCAGTGGTGGCTCCAGTGACAGCGAGGAAAGCGAGGGCAGCAGTGAAGCGGAAGAGAGGCGGGAGCGGAGACGAGAGCGGGAAGGCCGAAGGAGCGCTAGCGTGAAGAAGCGGAAGAAGGAGAGCAAGAAGAGGCATAAAAAGATGCATAAAAAGGTACGCTGTTCTGACAATGATCGGGATAGGGTTCTTCGAATTATTGTCTGGCGCTCGCGAGATTATCCCTGACTGTTCGAGACGATTAATTTTTGTCTCAAACCTTGCGGACCTTTTAACTCGCCTTGCCCGATTCCATCTACGAAATTTTCCCACAGGAGAAAAAGCGCAAAAAGAAGCATTCGCATAGATAGCCACGTAACTCTATCAAATAGTAATGTGTCCAGCGCATCGCTAGGCAAGCACTCGTAATGAAGAAAAGTCTCCCTGTACGTCGAATTCGCGGCCGTCCAGCTTCATTTTTTCAATCTTTGCGCTTTTCAATCGCTTTAGAATATTTTTCCATTCACTTGATTATTTTTTTGGTGTAATTGGCTCTATTTCACGCATGAAAAGTCTAAATACTCGCTGAGCTACTTTTATCCCCCCCAACAAAAGTCACTGTAGAACGCAATACTCGAGCGCATCTTTTCAAGAAATTACCCATACACAAAACAAAAGTTTGATTACATTGGACAAATGTGAATTGAGTAGTCAGGGGGACTCGATGTGTGCGCAAGCAGCTTTACGCCATGGAGTATGCTCTGTTATACATGTTCTCACACCTTTTCGTGCGTAACGTGCTTTTTGTTTGCTTGTGAAGATACCTTATAGCATTTTTCTTGTCCAACTGAGACGACACTTTTCATGCAACAGTAGCGTCATCCATGTCCCGTATCGATCATGGATTGTACCTCTTGTGCCATGGAATGATGCAAGGAACATGATAAAAGCCGTGACGCTACGTCACTCTCTGTCAAACCTTCTGATTTCTTTGCTGTGAGAACAACTCGGAAAATGTTATTGTAGAGAAAATGATGAGCAGATATCTTCGTACTTAATGCCTTGTGTGTGTCAGTGCTATCTTCTTCATGCGCTAGCGCATCACATGTCTGCTCGGAGATGTGTTCACCGAGGCGAATCCCTCCACAACCCACAGAGCAAAGTAAGAACCACAAAATCAAGTCTTTCGCGATGTTCAAGTGGTTACTCGTCGTAGTTGCAGTACTGTTAGGCGTAGGATCTAAGTATGCCAAGCGGAAATTGCCCCTCGTTCCCGTGGACCTAGATGGAAAGCATTTCATTGTAACGGGGGCCAGCGCGGGAATCGGAAAAGAAACAGTGCGCACCCTGGCAGAGTGGAATGCTTCGGTAGTTATGGCTGTTCGAAATGTAAAAAAGGGAACTGCGGTCCTGGAAGACATCCGTCTATCTATCGGGCGGCAGGACCTGCCGGTGGAAGTCTGGGAGATGGACCTGTCAAAGCTTTCGTCGGTCAAGGATTTCGCTGACAGATACCGGGATTCCGGTCGTCCTTTGCATGTGCTCATCAATAATGCGGGCTTGGTCTCGTGGGAGTACATATTGACAGAAGACGGTCACGAGCTTACATATCAGACGAACCATTTGGGCCACTTTTTGCTGACCAAGCTGTTGATGCCTTCCTTGCTGGCTTCAGCGCCTTCACGCGTCATTCAAGTGTCTTCCGACGCGCACTTCATGGGAAAAATAGATCTAGGTTAGTCAACTCGCGTATTGATGCGTCAGATAACTTAACTTTCACGATGCAGACGACGCTTTCCATTGTGACACAGACTTTTCAAATTGCGTTGCGACTCATGGTATCCGATCTCTTTGTTTCCACAGACCACTTGGACTCCTCAAACGACACTTATAATAGTATGTCTACGTACGCACATACCAAGCTTATGAACGTGGTGTATGCCAATGAGCTAACGCGCCGCTTTAAGGACGTTGGAGTTGTCTCGACCTCTCTGCATCCAGGATTCGTTGCCACGGAGTTCTTGCGGGACTTACCTGAGTGGGCACAACCGATTAAGAATGCAATGTGCTCGCTCTTTGCCCGAAATGAGGTTGAGGGGGCGAAAACACAAATTATGGCAGCCACTGCTCCGGCATATGAAGGGGTGGGAGGCGTGTACTTTGATGCATGTGCTCCTCGAGTCCCCAACAAGCTGGTTTTGGACGAACATTTAGCGGCTGCATTTTGGGATAAATCCGAGGAAGCGATCCAACACATGCTCGTCGAACCCTCAGAAGACATGTCCACAGAAGTTGCTGAGGAATGAGTTCAGAGGCGAAGATGTGGTATGTGGCGTCTGTAACTCTGCACCGTTTTAGAGTGCTGCAAAGAAGTACCATGATACGCCAAGATTGCATCGTAGACGTGCTCTGTCGAAAATTTATCACGGAAGTCTTGTTATAGGTTTTGTTTGATGAATATCCTTCTAGCTACAAGAGTCAAGAGGGAGGTTAAGGTTTCGCTCTTCTGTTCCCTCTTTATGTCTATCGCCTATCAATCAATATGTACGCACATATAACATAATATAATATACACTTTCTCTGCGTCGACGCCGGAAGAGATGGCAAGCTTGGTAGCAGGCTCGGATTGCGTAGTCCAAATTTTAAATTTAGCACTGGGCCTTAACTGACAACAACGGCCGAGCTGAAGCTCAACGGAAGACAACTGTCGGTATGGGCTTGCGCCTCAGAAAGACTTGCCTGCGCCAAACCTTATTATGCCTGTATACCCGTATAAATTGCTTGTTTTGCAAGCCTTTGAATAATTGGAATTTTTCGGTGTTGATTGTTTCGGCTACAGGTCAAACGGCCTGTTAGGGTTACTCCGAGCGGAATGGAATTGTCCTTGCAAGGGTCCCGTCGTGCATTCATTACGGGAGCAGGAAGCGGCATCGGTGCCGGTATAGCCTCTTCATTAGCTCTTGAACATGGATGGGAAGTGATAGCAACAGACGTTAATTTGGAGGCGGCGCAAGGCACAGCCGCGCAGATAAAGGCCAAAGATGGTAAAGCGGAAGCCTATGCGCTGAATGTGGCTGACAATACCCAAATAGTCTCACTCATTGAGCAGCTAAAAAGAGAAGGAAAAAATGTCGATGTTCTGATAAATAATGCAGGTTTGCAGCACGTGGCGCGTCTCGAAGACTTTCCTGCTGAGAAATGGGGATTCATGATCCAAGTCATGTTGACTGGTGTGGCTGATCTCACAAGGGCAATCTTACCAATGATGCATGAACAAGGATTCGGACGTATTGTTAACATTGGTTCTATCCATAGCGTTATCGCATCCCCCTTCAAATCCGCGTACGTGGCTGCAAAGCACGGTCTCATCGGATTCTCCAAGGTAATAGCCTTGGAGACCAGCGACGTAGATATTACCATCAACACCATTTGTCCATCCTATGTGAAGACTCCTCTGGTAGATGCTCAAATCGCAAATCAGGCGAAGACACACGGTATCAGCGAGGATGAGGTAATCAACAAAATTATGCTCGAGCCCATGCCCAAAAAGGCCTTCATTTCCATTCAAGAACTGGTTGGCACTACTCTTTTTTTGACATCCGATGCCGCGAGGAACATGACGGGCCAGACGCTAGTACTTGACGGCGGCTGGACGGTACGTTGATATACCGCACATACGCGTGCTGGTAAGAAATTACACTGACACATAAAAGTTACAGATGGGCTTGCCTGCTTGACAAATTATAAATATGATACGTACACATATAAAGGCTGAAACGGTCAGTAGCAACGACAAGCTTGGCTAGTTGTAAAAATTTTCTTTTCGCATTATCATAAACTAACGGCTGCAGCTTAATCACAAGCAATTTTTGAGTCGAATGAGCTGAGAGCAACTCCGAAAGCTTGCAACGGAGTGAACGGCCAACGAACATCCATCGTGAATTCGTGTTTGTCCACCCTCCCGAACTGAAGTAAAACTGTCTCATGATCTTTCGGTGCAACAAGTTGGAAATTCTTGACTGAGGCCATTGTGACCCGGCCATTAAAATTGAGGACGTACGCCTTGACCTGGTCATTCCACCGAGGCGGCTTGTTTATGAAATGATGGAATTCGCTTATGTCTCCTCTTCTGACCCGTTCAAGCATCGCGTCTGGCAAGGCCATATCTTCTTTGCCCTTCCATTCCTCCACCCTGTCGTCAACCATGTTAACACGCGGCAGATACACTTGCATCTTCCTTGGTCCACGCGCACCCAAGACATTTGCTGCATAAACTACCACCCCTAATTCTTCACAAGACGCGCCGATGTCCCTGAAAGACGCTGCTCCATCAGTGGGCTTCTCCTTGCTGCTGCCACCCCTGTCAAAAAGCTGAAACTCGGTTCCCACAAAGTTCGCGCGGACCTTGCCAAGATAATCGGGGCTGTCTTTAGCGAAGTCTCTGTTGTGCATTGTGACGTGGTAATTCGATGTCCTCTTATTTCCCTGTTTTTTTGCCGCCATCAAAAAGTGATCCCCGTTACGTGTATAGAGATAGTACTCAGGAAAAAGTTTCCCGGCCCCCATGTTGCGACGCTTTATGTAGCACTCCACTACCCCGGTAGACCGCGCCACAGGCCGTGTCAGAAATGAGAACAAGCCTGCACGGGTGGCTAAGAGAGAGGGGAAATCCACTTCCTCGGTCACAATTGGAGCCTTGTAGACAGGAATTTTGTTGGCTGATGACAAAGCAGTGTGGTGCTCAAGCGTCGCCGGGGACTCTTCCTCCCCATCTGAACCTGAAGTGTCACCATCCTGACGACCCATGGATACCTCTTCGGAGAATTTCGGTGAAGGCGATAGCTTTCTTATTTCGAGTGATGAAGACGATATGTTCGCTCGGTACGCGTGCAGTCGTCTTGCTGCCGAGGACGGTGCAGGTCCTTGAGGCATGGGTACTACGCGCTTGAATTGTTTAGCATTATTAGCATCCACATTTCCCCCGTCCACGTCGTTATTTTCTGTTGGTGGCATGGAAAAAGGTGTGATACTTGGTGTATGGTATGTTAAGCTGGAAGCTGACAAATTAAAAGTAGGATCTTCAATAGGTCGCACGGCCTCTGCGCGCATGCTTTCCTGACGACGCCGCAGCATGACCTCGCGTTGTTGAGCGAGTATTCGAGCCTTTGTATCATTGCTATTGCGAGTGTCTTGTCTAGAAAAATCTGGTGTATGCGATGCGAAGGAGGAATCATCGATTTTTTCGTACAAGTCGCCAGCGGCAGGAGACAGTTGTGGAAGCCCGGAGTTGGACGCAGCACGCGTGCTTCGGGCCGTTTGAGAAGGAACATGGGTGTCCTCTGCGATTGGCATCTTAGTTCCCTGTATATGCAAGTTCTGGCATAATTGATGGCAGTAACTGAGCTGTAGAAGATGTTTTAAAATGCAAATTTCAAGGCCAGCGGAAAAGAACAATTCGTAACGGATCGCCGGGAAACTGATTTTCACAATTTTGAAAAGCGAAGAAACAGGCACAGGTGGAGACTCGCCCATTCCCTTTTTCTATTAAGCAATATAAAGCATGCTTGCCCGTAGGGCCGCTTTATAATTTAGGGAAAACATTACCCAACATGTTCGCTTTGCTAGCCTTGCTCTACCTGGGAGTCAAATACATGGTGATGAACTCAACTTCCTTCCCCCATACCTTTCCTCCCTCGCTTTTTCTACTTGCTTCCTAGCGCAATATACGAGAGTAGCTATGAAGCGAGATATCCAACCTAATGTTGCCCGCCATGATAAGTCCTCGTTCACTTGCATTTTCTTTACTTGGTTCGCAAGACCCCCGCATTGATGAGTTTTTCGATTTTGGCCGCGACACCGGGGTCACTCAATGCTTGCCTTCCCTCTCGTGGATTTTCTTGAAGATCTCTGAGTACTTGCTGGATCACAGGATCGCCTAAGATAGCCTGTACCTCCGGGTCGGCCATGCCGTGCGCGGCACGCTCCATGTCAGCCTCCTGCGATGAGGCGTCGCGGATACGGGCACTCGTTTTTTGCAGTCCTTGGACACACAAGCTGTTGTTGGGTTCGATCTCCAGGCCATGCTTGTACGACTCGAGGGCCCGATGGTATTCTTTCATGAAAAACTCGATGTCTCCCTTCTTGGCCCAGGCCTTCACGTACTTGGGGTCGAGGGCGATCGCCTTCTCGCATGCCGTCTTGGCCGCCGAGAAATCCATGAGTTTGGACAATGCGGCCGCCAGATTGTTGTGATAAGCGGCGTTCGAAGGGTCCCGTCTGATCGCTTCATTGTATTCTTTCACCGCGTCCGGCCATTTTCCCGCCCGGAAGGCCTCGTTCCCCCGGTCCTTCGCCTCCACTGCCTTGGCGGGATCCACATACGCCAACTCCTCCTGCTTCTTGCGCTCCACCTCCGTGCTCTTAATCAGCCGCTCCACCATTTTGTCGAAGTGTTCCATTTGCGCGTCTCGGTAGGCTTCTATTGCGTTGGCCAAATCGCCTTGCTTGGCTAACGCCTTCCCCTTCCGGACCAGGGCCTTGGCCACGTCCGGGTATGGAGCCCTGTTCGCGCGGCCCACCTGGATGGCTTCGTCGCACTGTGCCACTGTTTTGGTAAAGTCTCCCTGCTCGAAAAAGACGGCAGCCTTGTTGGTCAGGAAGGCCATGTTCGAGGGGTCTTTTACGATGGCATCCTCATAGGCAGCCAGCGCCTCCACGAACTCCTTCTTCATGTAATGCTGGTTGCCTCGCTCTTTCGCCTCCAGGGCCTCGTGCTTTCTTTTCCGCTCTTCTCGCTCGGCTTCGCTCAGATCCTCCTCCGCGGGCTCAGGGGCGGGCGCGGGGGCCGGGGCCGCCTCTTTCTTGACGGTGGAGGCCTCACTCTCCTGCTCGTCCATATCCCCGGCCCGCATGTCAATGCCTGTCAAGAACCCAAACACGTCCATGATTCGCTTGTCCTGCAGGATCGTATTGAACGCATTCGGGTCTGTCTGTATCAGCTTGATCTTGGCCATAAACTCCGAGTCCAGCAAGTACTTGCAAAAAACTGGGTGCCCCGCCAACCGCGCCACGTTCTCAGGCGCGAAGATCGATGCCAAGGGGTTGATGCGCGGCTTGTTGCTGCTCTCCTTCACCTTCTTAACGTCTTCTAGAGCAGATGCGAGCCCGGCGTCGTCGGGAGCCACCTCAAGACCTCCTTCATAAGCCGCTTGGGCTTCATCGTAGCGCTTCATGGTGTGCAATGCAGCGCCTTTCCGTGAAAATCCTTTGGGCCACGTAGGGTTCGCTTTGATGCATTGCTCAGCATCTTCCAAAGCGGCAGCGGCATCTCCCTTGGAAAGATAGGCAGCCGATCGGTTGGAGAAGTACACATGTCGGGGAGCAGCTCCTTCCCCTGTTACGGGTAGGGCTGCGCTCACCTCGAGTGCTTGCGTGTAGCATTTGATAGCCTCATCGTAGTCCTTGGCTTGAAGTGCCTTGTTCCCCGCCGCTTTGTGTGCCTCTGCCTCTACGCTTGTCATGGATCAATCGAGACGGACAGGAAGACCAAGTCGTTACCTGAAGGGCTTCAAATATGCTGAAACGAAGGGAGGTGGAAATGATCTCAGCGCTGAAAAAATCTCAGAACGCCAAATAAAATACAGGAGAAAGAGTCATTTTTCCCGGCCCAGTCGTTTTCCCTCAAAATGATGACTATTGCGTCCAAATCCATATCTCACCCAGTCGCTCCAAAGTCGACAAACTTCCTCTGTGGTCAAAGAACATTCCACCACTCGGGCATCTTTTCCATCATAGTGTGAGACCTCGCGGCTTTTTGTGGACCGAGATCTCCCCTTTATTTGTAGACCGAGGTCTCCTCCTTATTTGTGGACCGAAACGCCCTCGGGCTCTTTCGTCCTTGTGCCCTTTTCCCAACACGTCTCGTAGCTAGGCGGGAATGGGGAATTTGAACTTTTTCGGACCCCTGCAAGGCTGAGGTTGGCGAGTCACGCGGCCTGCGGGCACTTAAATGTGTTGTGGGATGGACTCTGGTGGACACCTCTGGTGGACACCAGCGTGATGGAGCGTTGTTTATGAAACCTTTGAGAGATCTGCCATAATATCGTTTGCAAGCTGTCTCACTGGTTTCTTATGCGTTCCTGGTTTGTCGACTAGAGGCACGCGTGAAAGGTTGGGTTGGCTGTCAACCCCTCCCACGATCAGCACAATGCTGGCCGTTCATGGCAGTAGGGCAAATATCAGAAATTGGATTGCGGGATCTATTGTTGTTGCCTGCTTTTTTACTTGTGACGCACTGACCGCCGCATCCTCGAACCGGACGAGCCGTTGTACCTCCCGAATTTATGATTGCTTTACCACTCCGACAACCGTAACACAGGAACGAAGCGCCGTGCCTTAATAATGGTGCAGTATGGCATTGATCCAGGTGCTGAAAGTCATGTAGGTAGTGCAAATTGCGGTGATAATTCCATGGTGGTGGCCGTGCGAATTCGACCCATGTCGACGAAGGAAATGCAGTCTGGCGCGCAAAAGTGTTGTAAGGTGGTCAATGGGCGCTATGTGATCATCTCAAAAGCAGGGATTGCAGGTCGCTATTTGAGATCGCAGCAAGGTGAGTGACAAATAATGCCCTATTAAATGCCTTACGAGAAGGAGCCGTGTCGCCACTCCGGAGGTCTCAGTATGTCAAAAGCATCAGGCCGCAAACATGGTTTCCTCCACGCTGCCTGTGAGACATGTAGGCTGACGTGATGATTTACACACAGTCAAATTTAAT